TTTCTCAAATCGATAAAATAATATGATGTATTATTGTATTATGATATAAAAATATAACTTACCAATATATGTGTATTGAAATGAGAATTGAAATGTATAGGAGAAGTATAATTGTATGAACTCTGATGATCCTGATTAGAGTCCCATCTTGATCAGCTTGGAACCAAAAAATCATTCGTATCAGTGATGTGGGAAATCATATCTCTCACAAACAGGAACAACGTCTTACGTGCCAGTCGGTACGTTTATTATGTTGTCCCTGCGAGGAAGTTAACTTACACCTCGCCGACGATCGTATTCCCAGGTAACACTGAACTCTCCGCGATATCTCAAAGTAGTTATCTTCAGGATCAAAATGCGAAATCCTCCTGCGAGGTGCCAAAAGATCACTATAGGCTGTCACCATGAGAAATACTCTCTGATCTCGCCTCAGATTTGAAATATTCCTCATTATTGCGAATCCTTGAGGTTATCTATAACAGGATATAAATAGGCATTTCTTTCTGCGAGCACCCAAGGATATCCTGGACGTAACAAGATCGAGCATTTCCCATTGCGAGCTCCTGAAGTAATCACAAACATAGCCTGAATAATTAATGAATATTCCAACAAAAATATTGAGTTGTTTTTTCAATAGCCTTTTTAATTCAAATACTGGGTTACCCAAGTTATCGTACACAGGCAATATCTCGCCTATTTGTCAAGATATCGAGAAATTTCAAAAACTGCATTGAATGGCATTAAATAACCTTCCTAATGGCTAATGCAGAATGTGATATATTTGGCAGCCCCCTGATGGTAGATACTGATCAGTTTTTATTTTCGAATAGCAAATTGTCTCTGAAAATTTCGTGTCAATATATTTGGGATACAACGATATAGCACATATTTGGTGTTTTGTTTATTGATAACAACAAAAACATGAATATTTTGTGACTTTTTCACGTTACTTAAATGACATATTGCTGTCACCCATATGTTTTCAAAAAGTTCACAGATAAAGAAGTATGGATTGAATTTTTGTTTCAAAGAATTAATGACAGATAATCAATTTTGAAGTGCAGAACATCAATCATTGCAGACGGTACCTACCTAGTGTAATAATTAATTTACTTTTATTGTGGAAAATTTTTACAAACATGGGACAAGGCAATTTTCAATCGATGTAAATAAGGTCAAAAAATGTTATTGTTTTTGTTGTTATCAATGAACAAAATACAAAGTACCGATGTGCTATCGTTCTTTTCCAAAATAGGATGATACGCAATTTTCAATGACAATATACAGGGAGTCCATTCAATAAAAATTGAGCGATAGCTACCAGGGGGCTGTCCAATCTAATACATTTTTTTTAACATAAAAAAAGAACTTTGATGTCATGATGATGTCATCATCTTGTCGAATAAGCGAGTTTTTTTCGGTACCTATACGATAACTTTGGACACCCAGTACTAACATGAAATGGGAGTCATTAATCTATGATAATAATAATTATATATATTATATACTAGATACTTCATTCTCTTACTGTCTCAGAGAATTTATTCAACAGGTCATATCATTATCTCTCCGCCATCATGGAAGATTATTTCAAATTCTGCAGTAAATTAATGATGATTATCTGCCCTGACGAAATAGAGAAAAATGTTCCAATTCAGGTGGGATCGAGAATCAAATATCTACTTCTAATTCGTGGGTAAATATCAGACGACCTTTTTTTTTAATGAATACCCGGCCAACTCCTCAAAGATGTTTTCAAGTGAAAAAGTTTACTTGATCAATGTCTTGTTATAGAATAATATATAATTGAAGCTCAATACGTTGATCTAAAAGTTTGGTAACTTTATCTTTGGCGCTGAAACAAATATTGAGTAGATTTAACTTCACCCCAAACAATATAGCTGGCGCTAGTTAGACTTCGCCGACAGGAGACTGCTGACCTCCCAAGAATTGAATACCATACCCTATTAAAGTGGCGGTCTTGTGGCGATTGATGCGAATATCGCTCTCAAAGGCCTCGTTATAAGGCGATGTGCACGGATTCTTGAAGCACTTGAAGAGTTCGCCATTAATAATTGATGCGAATTTCCCAAAGTCCTCTTCACAAGGCTATGCGTGCGAATATCTCAAACAGCTCGTAGTCGCGAGCACTTAAAGACCTCGCCAGAAGCAATTGATGCGAATCTCCCAATGTCCTCGTGACAAAGCTATGTAGGTATGCGAATTTTTCAAACAGCTCATAATTGCGAGCACTTCCAGTTCTCGCCAGTGGCGATTGATGCGTATACCTCAAAGTGCTCACCTGACGGCATTGTATATGAGAATTTCTGCGTGGGATATCTCTAAGACTTCGCTGAGCTCAGCCTTGGTTGCGGACATTTGGAGGAGATATAGCGCTCTCGGCGATCACTCAAAGAAAATACAAAAAGCATCACAATTTCCTAGAAGGATATCTTCCAGATATCTTCAGGACCTCTTCGTGCGGCCTGTTTTGGACATCCTTGAGAACCTTCTCCAGGATCTATTGGAAACCTTTTACGGACCATCAACTCAACTGAAAGCCCTTATAAGTTATGCAAGATTCGGTCCTATATAGGGAGACCCAAATAAATTCAAATTCAAGAATAATTCGTACGACGTTCCAGACGAGATCTCATGGAAGTTTCAGAGACGTTCTAGGATCGTTATATCCAGAGGACGTTTCGGAGGATGTTCTATGAATGACCTCGGTACAAAAAAAGTTTTGTGAACTTTTTCAAATTCTTTTTTGGTGAGAAGTCGGGACATTTGTACTTCCCACGGACGTCCTATGGATGTCCGAGCTACCAAGAACGCATGTCCTATGGACGTCCTGAATGTCCTGGCGGGAAGCCCCATATGGATATCCATGTGACTTCAGTGTGTTGTGTGTTATCAGGGATCGCCACACGATCGAATTGACGGAGAATTGCTCCTTTGGTTTACGATTTCGAATCTGCCTACTTAGATCATGAGACTAATTTGTGATGGAGAAGACATTACTATGTTTTTCATCACTTGGAGCGCTCGAAAGGGAATCCCTATAATGCTCGAAGAACATCGTGCGTACCTAGGGAGGATAGGGATAGGAGGTAGATATTGGTTTCTTTTTTGGACTTATTGAAATTGTGAGTTCTTGGGAATAATTCCTCAAGCAATGCATTCCAGAGCTTTGGCGTTCTATAGACAAACGACTTGATAAAGTACTTTTGGACATTTCGAGGTTGAGTTATAGCAGAGATTTCTGAAGAACATTTCCCGTGAAAATATATATAGAAAAGTGAAAGGTCATGTCCAGGCCTGGACTCTCTGAATGCGAACATGTAGGAGAATTTCAAAAAAGTGAATTGATCAGGCATGTTTTCTTATTCACAAGTAGTTTTAATGGAATACCTGAAAACATTTTTTCCAAAAATGAGTGATTTGATCGTGGCTGAAAATTATACATAGGTTGCAGTTTCTTCACTCTGTAGTTTTTTCATCGATTGGTGCGCACGAAAGGGAATCATTATAATGTTCGAAGAACATGGTGCGTGGAAGAAGAGGTATGTGTCGGATTTTTTCTGGACTCTTGGAGATTATGATGTTCGAAGAACATCGTGCGTGGAAGAGGGAGGTATGTGTTGGATTTTTTTTTGTTGGAAGTACTTTCCCAGGCAATGAATTCCAGAGATTTGCCGTTCTATAGAGAAACAAGTTTTGATATAGTGTTGTTCGACATATTTCGACGTTGACAACGAAAGGATGTGCTGACTGCGCTTGTCGAGTTCGTCTGGCTGGTATTACTAGTCGTAGAATGTTAGTGAAGACTCTTGAAGAACATTTCCCGTGGAAGTATCTATGAAAGAGTGGAAGGTTGGTCCGACCTTCCTACGGTGTTTCAATGATGTCAAAGTGTTAGTGAGTGTGGCATTACCCACCAGGCGAATGGCTCTTCTCTAGGTGGAATCTAAGAGCATCAGAGTATGTTTGCATGCTGAACCCCATATGTGACCACATTATTCTAGAACAGGTCGTATCTGTGCTTTGTAAATAATGAGAAGCTGTTGAGGTGTAAAGTAGTTTTTCGCACGGAATGTGAAGCAGCTTTCGCGATGGATCTGATGGAAATCATCGTCAGCTGGCTGTATATTGGGTAACAGAGACGTCAGCTGGTGGTATTTAGCTCGATGTTTGGGTTGAGAATTTGTCGGAGTATGCGCTATATACGTATGTAGAGCTGACGATAATATTCATGAACTACGACAGTACAGATACTGCATTTAGAGGCGATATAGCTATATATTCACCTGGTTGTTGATTCCACACTAACAAAAAGTTCCTTGACTTTGAAGAGAGTCAGTTATATAGGTGCCTTTCACTCTCCTGTAAATGTAAATTTGTCAGAAATATTGACTATCATATTATTCCATCTATAACAAGTGGTACCAGTCAGATTAAGTCAATATAAACTCAATCAGCACATTCCCTTATCGTCATCCCTGGCATGTGTTGAACAACTCACTACGAAAACTCGTTTATCAATAGAATGGCAAACCGCAAAACTTTTAAATTCTTTGCCTGAAGGGAAGTACAGGTATGCACGTGATGCGAGTTTTTCTATTCTTGCGTCCTAAAAAGGATTAAGAAAATAGATGATGAAAAGACGAATGCCTGATGCTGGACGCATAAAAAAGTTCCTTACAGTACTAGAGATAAGTGCAGAGATGAAGAATATCAAGTGGAGTTTATTGTTAAAGTTCTTAGAATTGCAGGGGAATTTACTCGTTTACAACAGTGATATCTGTAGTGAATGTTTAACAGATATGGAGAGGTCAAACTTGTTGTGTAGAACTATCAGTATTAATTTATTCATAAATTGGGTTCGGAGGAGACAAACTAAACGTTCGGCGATAATTAACGGCATTAGTAGAGTGTTTTGAATTTTTGAGTAGGTACCTATCTAAGAATATTGTCAACAAAGGTCTCCAGTATTCTTTGATATGATCAGATTAAGTAGCGGTGTCACTAGGCACAGTAAAACCTCAAAATTGAAATATTATTTCCGCAAAAATTACAGCAGTGAAGTTGATTTGCCGAGGCAGGTTGATGTAGTTGTTGTTGGTAAGTATTATGGATATACATATATTTGATTGTTGATATGATTTTAAAAAATGCATGTGACTGAACTATTTCATGATACCTATATGATGATAGAATATGTGATATGAGAATGTTGTCGTCTCTCATTTTCTAAAATAATTCAAATTTAATGTTGGAATATGAATAATAAAGTACGAAGTTCAGATAGAGAGATATTCAATATTTGGCAAGGACATATAGAACATCGAAAGGTGATTGATCGTATCGATATATATCATAATGTATGTATCAACTGAAATATAATATATTTTATAACATAATATGCCATCCCCGCATATTCAAAACAAGAGAAAATTGTCCAAACCCGTCGTCGACTTTTGTTTTAAGAGGATACCCTTTAGCAAAAATTTGCTTTACTTTGTACCCTCCATAGATCTATGAGTGTATTTTGATCTATGAACCCTCTCGAATTACCCATAGCCCAACTTTGCTCCTGGCCTCGGTCCTGGCCTCGTAGGGCCCAGATAAAAGTAACAAAATGTGTGTTTCACATCCAATGTACCTATATTCTTGTGTATCAGACTATTATAATCAAATTAATCATTGTCTTTTTTTATTTTCTGTGAGAATAGTTTTTTAAAGGATTCCCGAATGCAGTTTTTTTATTCAGATCATTTTCCTACTTGGCAATTAATGTAAAAAGAACTATATCAATGTCTCTAGATGCAGCGAATGAACATTTCAACTTCAACTCTCTCTGCTTTTGGACATAAATGTTGGCGTTAAAAAACGGTTGAAATTGTACGGTCAAACGTTTCCCAATATGTTAACAAACATCAATTGTGTTTGAGCAATGAAATGTCGTAAGAATGACGATACAGAACAAATAACATACAAACAATCAGTGATAAGATGTACCAGATTCAACGCATAATTTTAGAGAATCGGCAACGGCAATTTTGAATATTTCGCCTTTGATTTTGTGTACTACTAATCCGAATAGTACAGGGTGTTTCAGAGTTATGTTGACAAAAGAATTGGGGAATTTCTCTCAACAAAATGAAAAAAAGTTCATATGAACATAAATGTGTCCGAAAATGTTTCGTTTCCGGGATATAGGGTGTCCAATTTGAAAAAAAAAAGAGTTTTCCAACACTATCTTGAAAAAATATTTTTCACAAAATTTGAAGATCTTATACATATTATGTCTTTTTTGTTTTCATGAATTATGATGCAATGAATTTTTGAATAATATCTGAGCATTTTTATTCTTCCTTATAGAGTTCAGAGATATATGCCGAGGTATGATATTGTCCGTTTTTCTAGAAAACGAAACAAGACATACGAAAATAACAAGAGACTAAAATGATGTATTTTCAGTTGTTTTTTCTGTATATTTGGGAAGACTCCGTGAAAAAAAAAACAAAATGACTCTTTTTCTACACAAAAAGCCGACTTGTTTGATGGGTATGCCTCTGGAAATCGTGGATCAAAACTAATTGGTCCAGTAAATGTCTGATAATTGGGTAAATGAACAATGAGAATTCCATTAAAATCGGCTTGAACGTTGCCGAGATATTGATAAAACACTTTTTTTTTTCAATTTGGTACCCTGTATCTCGGAAACGAAGAATTTTCGTACCCATATTATCATGACCTCTTTTTCATCTTCTGTTGAGATGAATCTCTCCTAGGCTTCCTACATCACAACTCTGGAACACCCTATATATGGGGTGTTGATGAATATTTTTTGTTTTACAAAATACCTCACATGAATGATATTATGATGCACTCAGAGATCTGTTGCATCTCTGATGCTTCTGACAAATAATGATAGGTAATACAGAATCAACATTGAATTTAACGGACGCACTCTATAGAAATCCTAGGTGGGATATATTTTTGTATTAAGTTTTTTGAAAGAAATTGTCACAGACGTCATTACTCAAACGTGAAACAACCTGTATACTCAATTTTGCCGTATGAATGTGACGAATGGATATTGAAAATTGATATGTTCCAGGGGATTCCTCAGCAATGGATAGTTTGCATAAAAATGATACCTACTGTACGGCAGCGCTGTACACTTTCAATTATTGTTTCTGATATACTTTTTCTTGAATTGCTTATTTTACGGAGTTTCTTGGCAAGAATATTATTGTCTATATCGAATCAACGTTGTATCCTTTGTTGACTGCAACCTCTGTATATTTATATACATATTTATATTCAGATCATTTTATATTATTTATTGGTGATACGTTTATAGATCAATTATATCATAATCTAGTGAATGTTGTATTCAGTGTGGAAATAATCTTCGCCATATGATGCTATATTTTTTGCCTAGGAGCAGCGTAAGCGTAATATATCAATCAACGCTAGGAGCCAAGAATAGGTGATATCGCTTGCGCGGAGCATTTTGTTTAATTTTTTTATTAACACACTTTTATTAGCTTCACCTGTATATGTAACCGACTCCTTTGGACTCGATTTTGACCCACTTCAAATGGAACGATTGATTTGAAATTTGGCAGGTGTGCATAGTTCTGGTGGCAATGCATCATGACATTTTTGTTAGACAAAAAAACAAAATAGCGGATGAGTTTTGTAATTATGACCTGATTATATTCAAAATTGGTATCTAGGGGTTTTCGAGGTCGGAGATTATGATTATTCTGTCAAAATTGGTGAATTCAAGATGGTGGATCCAATATGGCGAACGAGTTTTGTAATTATGATGGAAAATCTATTTAAAATTGGTATCTCTGGGGGTTCTCGGGGTCGTAGATTTCAATCTTTCATCAAAATTTGATAATCCAAGACGGTGGATCCAATATGGCGGACAATTTTTGTAATTATATGATCCAATGGGCGTGTACACCTTGGTAGAACTTTAAACTCAAACCATGTTTATAATGATCCTTTTATACATAAACAATGATCGACGACATAATTCGATCGAAAAATTAACTGGAATGTTTTATTTTTGGACATAAATAATAGTACCTTCTGAAAACGGACCATCTTATGACGTAGAAACCTCATCTCGCCATGGTTGAAAGAAAATACCAAACGCCCGACGGAGACTGAGGCAACTGATATATTAATTCTTTCAACTGTGATCTCGCGCTAATTCACTCTGTCAGAAATAATGTATCATTCATCTCTGTCTGGAATAGTTATGTTTCAGTATTAGGGTTCTGACGTCACATCATCGCCTCGTTTTCAGAGGTCCGAAAAATCGGTGATTTCAATAATTTTTTATAAAACGTAGGGAGCTCACAGCAAGAAACGGTTTGCGGTGGTGAGCTAGTTTGGGTGATTTCTATCGAATTATGGAATAAAAATTTTTTGTGATATAAGCCCATTCCATTCAAAATTGGTACCTGGGGATTTTCGGGATTGGAGATTATGATTCTTTCGTCAAAATAGGAAGATTCAAAATTGCGGTGTGCATAATTCTGGTGGCAATACATCATAAAATTCGTGTTACACAAAAAACACAAAGTGGCGGCACCGAAATGACACACGAGTTTTATTATTATATGATCCTATTCTATTCCAACTTGGTATGTATGAGTTTCTATATATGGCGGACGGGTTCGGCCGTGGGACCACCATGTACTGCCCACTCTTGTCATGGTGGCCGAACGTGTAAAAGGCTGCGAACGGACACCCATCAAACGGAACTGGAGGATTCCGGTTGACATGGGTAGCTGGGCTTGCTCAGCGAAAACTGGAACTTTGGTGTACCTTGTGGCTTAATTCGACAGGGAAGGGGTAGCCCCAAGCGATCCTATCGCCAGTCATCATAGGCAAAGCCGGCTCCTCTCCTGTAAACGAGGTAGAGGAACGTGTAAAAGTCCTCGAACGATCCCTCATTCAACATGAGTAGCAATCAGACGAAAGTCTCTTGCAACAAGAGGAATAATCTAGTTGACATGGGTACCTGGGGGGATGAGGAAAGCCCCACCAGGCCGTACATGCATCCTGGTGCCTCACCAATTGGTTTGGACTCCAGGGGGCAACGGTTTCCAAAAACACCACCGGACTACGGTAGAGGAGTTGAAAGAATAATCCCACTATGGATCAAGTGGGAGGATATCTGCCTCGGTGGGTGAGCAGCGTATTCTGCTCTGGCACTGACACTGCAGAGCCAGTAGTCTGTCTTATCAGACGGCCTCACCATCAGCATAATAAAATGGTAGAAGGAGAACATGCCGTTACATAACGGAGATGGCTCTAGCTCGCTGATTTGGCATATACAAATCCGTCATTTCCCTCTGGAATGCTATCGGTGGAGTCGAAAGATATAGGCCGGCAGTCATCTCTATTGGGAGTTTTGTGAGAGGGGTCCCACCCGATTGCTACCCCGGCAATATCTATTGACATTGAGACATGGCGAGCGGGTTTTGTAATCATGATCCTATTCTCTCAAATATAAGTTTCTGGGGGTTTTTGGGGTCGAAAATTATGGTTCTTTCGAAATTCGGAACTTACAAAAAATATGCTTCTGTAGTTTGCCGAACTGAAAACTAGAAAATAAAAAGTAGTCTAAGAAACCAAAGAAAAACACTTTTCTTCTTCTTCTTCTTCTTCTTCTTCTTCTTCTTCTTCTTCTTCTTCTTCTTCTTCTTCTTCTTCTTCTTCTTCTTCTTCTTCTTCTTCTTCTTCTTCTTCTTCTTCTTCTTCTTCTTCTTCTTCTTCTTCTTCTTCTTCTTCTTCTTCTTCTTCTTCTTCTTCTTCTTCTTCTTCTTCTTCTTCTTCTTCTTCTTCTTCTTCTTCTTCTTCTTCTTCTTCTGCTTCTTCTTCTTCTTCTGGTGGTATTCGGCAAATCAATCGTCTATATGTATACCTATTGCAGCCACTTGGGCTTATTGTATATAGCTCCCGTCATCTACACCACCCATTCCAGAAATATGGTACCCTGCATCAGCTTGCGCAAGTTCTTTGCCGGACGGGTCCGATTCTCATGTGGCGCCATTTTTGGTTTTTCATATAGATATCTTACCTTCTTTGTGATCCAATCGTTCAAGATCTGGAGTGCTGTTTATGGTTGCTTATTATTGCATTGTCTGCACGTAAGGTAACTATAATACAGCCCTATTTTACTCAGATGTCCTCCTACTTCTATTCAGTTGTAGTAGATCTTCAGTTGCATTCTGAGTTGGTTTATTTTCCATTCTTTCAGCCTTATTTTATTCAGGTGTCCTCTTACTTCTATTCAGTTGTAGCAGATCAGTTGCATCTTCAGTTGTTTGTTGACACGTTTTTTTTTCATGTTGTTGTCCTGGTACCTTGTCCCAGTATGACATGTGTTGGTTTCTCATTCATTCCTTCCTCTTTTCAGTTTGGCTATCTAAAAAAAGGTGGTATTTTAGTTTTTTGAACTTCTTTTTATTTTCTAGATCTCATTTCAGCTAGATACAAAAGCATGTTTTTTAGTGTTTCAATATTCTTGTAAGTACCAAATTTTTTCCCTTTTTCATTTTCCACCCCGAAAACCCCCAGAAACTAATTTTTAATTGAATTGGATCTTGATTACAAAACCCGCCCGCCACATTGTATCTACCATCAGAAACTCCTAGATACCAAATTCGAATTGAATCGGATCATACACTGAGGAAAATTCCTATTAACCATAGTCAGAAATCGAATTACCCCAGCAAGAAACTCTGAAAGCATAGGGGACAAGCGAGTTATGACATGTGACTTTGCTGATTATAACCCACCTACGATTATTAGATATAGAACCTTGCTGCTACTAGCGAATGCATCTGTATATTGCTATCAGACTATGTTTCTGTAGTAGTTATATGACTTTACTACTGCTAGTGAGTGCATCTTGTAATGGGAGTAGGGCAATGTTATATATATGACCTTCTTACTGTAGTTATTCAGTTATTTTCCAGGATTGCTGTCATCAAGGAAGGTGAAATTTCGACTGATATCCAATTCCACTTCCCATAATTTCCACCCTGATATTTGATATGAATATCAATTTATTGATTCCTAAAGAGAATTTCGGACCAATGATCTTTGGAATTCAATAGATCAATTGATTCATGCACCCTCAGGAAAAACAAGAGGTTCTTGAGTAATTGATGAAGAAAATAGTTTTTATGAAACTTTCTCAAACCATTGTATTTCTAAAACTAGGCAAGTTATTACAGATGCGTAGAGGAAAACAAAATGTTACCAGTAAAATCATTCAAATAATTTCATAACCTGGACATTTCTGCTCACAATAAGTTTCTAGACCATCACATTCTATAGAGAAGCTCTGGAACATATTTGACAATTCCAAAGTTTCATGGTGCCAAAAAAACAGGAACAGTTGAATGTGAAAGAAATATTTGGATTTCAGTCGAAATACCTCGAAAAAACTCACCTTCATCATTCCATCAATCCTGGTAATAACTGAAGCACTCAGATCTACGGAAGCACGGAGGGACACGAAAGATTTTTTTATATGTTCAAAAATGTTTCCATTTTATATTTGAATTCAAAATCAGATTCAACGAAATGATTTGAATTCAAGAGGGAAAGTATTCGTAATTGACGTGTCGTTGAGATTGTTGTCTTGTACATGGGTTTGCATCAAGAGCCCAACTGAGAATAATTGATTAAGCAAGATGTCTGACAAATGCTTATATAGTGGAAGGACGAATCAACAAAATATCGAATAACGATAAGTAGGCGCTAAATAACCCCAAGTGGGTTCGTCAAATATTATTTTCGTGGCAGACTGACAGTTGTATTATTGGTAGTGAGTGCAGTTCTATGTGATGAACCTCGCAGCCACAAGCATATAACTCACTAGTAGTAGTTCAGCTTGACAATTATTAAAAAAATCATGCTGTCCCAGAGTGGCTGCCTGATAGCGACAGCAGTATACCTTTCTGTAGAAGGAAATTCACTTCCAGCAAAGTCGATATTGCTATCACAGGATTTCAAGGTGCTGCTTCTATTCGAAAATGTTTAACGGAAATATAATTTCTTGTAATGGTAGCAAGAAATATCGCAGCATAAACTCTGATAGCACAATTCTCCTCAGTGCATAAATAAAAACTCGTCCGCCATTTTGGAAACGCCATTTTGACAAAAGAATCATAATCTCTAACCCCGAAAATCTCCAGATACCAATTTCGAATGGAATTAGATCATAATATGGTATTTGAAACACTTATCTGCCAATAAGCTGTATAGGTATATTGAATTTTTTTCACCTCTTGCAATACATTCCAATAGTTATATGAAACTGAAATATGAACCTTTTGTCATTATGAAATCATTTCTTATCAATTCTAATTAAAATCTAATAGCCATGACCATCACAGCATATAACACGTCGTTATTGATAAATGCCATTTCTACGAAACTCGATAACAGAGGTGGTTTTGTCTTTATTGACTAGTGGTTCATGAAATACCTTGATAGTGAAAACACACTTTACTCCTCGAAAAGGAGTAGGTATATAATGGTAGGTTTTATAGCTAGTGATGGAACAAATTGTATTCGTCTTGTTTAGGTGGTGGGGTTATCGGATGCAGTACTTTCTACCATTTATGTAAAAAAGGCGTCAACGCTATTTTACTCGAGAAAAATAAAGTGACGAGTGGGACGACATGGCACAGTGGGGCCATAGTTTGGAGTCTGAGAGGAAACGATGTGGACACTATTATGCTCCAAAAGACAAGAACCCTTCTTGCTGGACTAGAAAAAGAAACTGGTGTCAATCCGGGATGGATCAATAATGGAGGAATTTTCATCGCCAGAACTCCAGTGAGTGAAATATTCCAGGAACGGTCAAATATCTAGGAGATCTGTTAATCACATTTTGTGGAAGGATCACCCATACCATACCTATACCTATAACAATATGTATATAATAATCTTTAATACGAATACGAATACGAATTCATTGATCCCTGTTGGTTTCATGGGGGTAAACCCTAAACGACTACAGAAGATATTGGCGAAAGAGTTTCTTTTACCCCAATTATCAATATTTTTGGGGTGTGCCTGGCCCTTAGACTCAGTGACGATTTCAAATTTTTTTATTTTTTTTGGCGGTAAGTGATGGAATGGAAATTAATTCCATCTTCTCACAAACACATAGACCATATGATCTGATTTTGAAATCAAATAAAAAAATACTCTAATTATTGTATACGCGTGCGTGAGGTTTGCTGCTGACAGAGGTATTTGTATACGTGTTTTTTTTTCAGAACCCTTTGAAGGTAAATGCAGTTTTCTTCAATTATCTCTGTTATCTTTGATCTTAGAAACACCAGCGTACATTTGGTACCTGAGGAAGATTTGATCTTAGCAACCGTTTGATGGTACGAAAATACAAGATTCAATATACAGGAAGAAGCAAAACTAGTAACCAATGCAATAAAAAGTTGTTTTGTTTCAAGATTTATTTCAATTCTACTATATCAGAATATGATTCTCCAAACACATCCACACCAAAAAATTCACAAATTACAGAGAAAAAATATCATTGATCTTCCCTTAATTGCTAATATGGAAGATAATGAAAGAAAACAAGTTATTAATTAGGAACAAAAAGGAAAAATACAAACAAAAAATGCTACCAAAGCAATTGATCTGGTTGAATATCAGTTAATTTGATGTAGAAAGTAAAAAATAAAGATTGCGAAAGCCAATGGTCATAGACGAAACGTTGCACATGATACAATAAAAACATAATTATTTACTGAAATCGAAACCCAAGAACTGTCCCTCCCCAAAATCATTTACATGAGGAAGGTTTTCCTGTTGAAATTCCGTGAAACGAACCGTTTTCGAGAAGTGTCATTTTTCATTTTGATGTCCGGAAAAATTGACAATGATTTAAAGCATGGTGAACGTAATACAAAAAAATGTGAACTTGTTAATTATAATTTCACATTTCCAGTTACTATTGTCGTTTCATTAGAGTTCATTGTGATGTTGATTTGATGAGTGAATAAGTTTGTGAAGTTCAGTAAATTTCTCGTTGCGGATATTTTCTCAACATATAAACATCACGTTTTATTCTAATAAGATATTAGGAAGTGAACAATTGAAATTACCAAGTTCTATTTTTTTATCTTGATAGCACACGCTCAGAATCTTTGTGAATTTTTTTTGGCATCAAAATGAAAAATGATCGTTTTTCTCGATAACGATTCGTTTAACGACATTCCATCAACAATACCTGTTATATGTAGAAGGGTTTGAAGGATTATATTCTGGTAGTAGGCTTGAGATGAATCTCGAAACAAAAAAAATTGGGGCATCTTTATATAGCATTGGTTACGAGTTTCGCACATCTCTGTATATTGAATCATGTTTTTCGTACCAAGAAACATTTTCAAGATCAAATCACCTTCAGGTACCAGGGTTTATCTTTCTGAAATCAATAATACCGCAGATTATTGAAGAAAACTGCATTCAAGGACCTATACCTTCAAAGGGCTCTAGCGCCCTTAGGAAGCATTTTTGGAAACATTTTTCTTATTTTTATCAGCAGTTTGATTAGCAGTTTCTGATATATTTGACCGTTTCAAGAGTTTATTCCAATTCAATATATGTTATACCTACTTCTACCTATAAGTGCTAGTCCTCGATGTGAATTCATCAATATGATTTCTCGAGCATATCAGACTATTGAGTCATATATTATTTCGAATACATTTCCAAATAATTTCAGAATATTTTTATTTTTTATTTGCCAAACAACTGGAAACAATTAACTGATGATTATCAGCATGTGGACAGATAAATTTAAGCCTTTCTTATCGTAAAAGCAAAAAATCATTTGTTTTTCACTTTGGTTCTATCATGTTTTGAGTTATTTTTTTTTCTTCAATAAGATGAATAATTATAGTATTTCACTGGTACTTTCTATGTTATTTCATTTCTTCAGACATATATTGTAGGTTCATCAGCTGAGAGAGTATAACTATGAATTACTGATTTCACCTGTAGTGATTAGGTCTTTAGTTGGTAGAGGCCATCAGAGTGTCTTATCAAACGAATGAAACTTCATGACTTCCATTGACTTTTTTGATTTATTCATTGGTTTGAATAGTCACTTACCTACTTTTGAATGCATATGGCCTTCTTATTCAACTGATATGTTTAGGTACTCACAATATCATTGGAATACCTATAAAAAACTAACCGGTCTCTTTTCAAAACTGTACCTATAATAGCTATCGTAATTCATTTTGCCATCAGTTAGTAAGTAGAGGTATAGATAGTATCTAGTAATAAGCACATCTGGATGACAAGTACTCATTTCAGGAAAGACTGGAAGAATACAAACACTTCCACAGCCTTGGGCACATGTTCAAATTGGAAAGTCAGCTTGTGTCTCCCAAAGAAGCCCAAAAAATCTGCCCAATACTCGACCCGAAGTCTTTCTATGGAGCTCTGTGGTCGCCGAGTGATGGGTTCACAGATCCCTCCATGTACTGTGCCGCTTTGATAAAGGGTGCTACCAATTTGGGAGGACAAGTAAGTGAATAATCCCTTCAAAAAATCATGAAAAAGACGCAACATATGCAACAATGCTTCTTCAGTGTCTTTCATGAAGTTGCGGTATCATGTGGGAAAAACATTTGATAATAATTTATTCAGAATCTCGACTCGGACGTTAAGTTTTGGTCACGTAACGAGCCCTTCTCTTCTCATATGAACGAGTGAAATTTGTTCTCTTATTGTCTCGTCGAGACAGCAGTTTTTCTCGAATAGGGAGGTCCTCCTCTCGTATCGTCTTGTCTCGACTTCTCTCGTCTTCTCTCGTTTGGCCGTGCATTTTTATTGGAAGGAAAATAGGTCGGCTTTAAAAAAAATTCACAGGATTTTTTAAAGCCGAATATCCATATAGTACTGTATAAACAAATTTTAATATAATGCACACCAAAAGTGTTATTTGTGTTACTAGGCGCAGCAAAGTGGCCATCCATCCATCATTTTGTATTCACCCAATGTCAGTTTCAATTTTGATTACCTATTTCATTCAAATTGCATAGCAATGTACATTTTCAGTCTAGGCAGGCAGACAAGTAAATTATTCTTGGCAATTATCTCAAAATCTATACAGATTCCGAATGGAATACAAACGGGGAAACATTGTTGGAATTAAAAGGAGTATTAGAATTGAAATCTTATTGATAGCAGAGACAGCACGTAGAAAGTTCTAGAGGATAATTGAATTGGGTGTATCCACCGAAAGTGTATCACCCTATAGATAATCAAAAGCACCTGATAAATGTTTTTTTGGTTTTATGCCATCAGGATCAGGACATTCGCTGCTATATTATATGTTCTCATCTAACGGTTAAGTACCTATATGAATAACTATTGTGATGATTATTATAATACTACTCATCAAGTTTCACTGATAACCCTGAATGACTGTCAGTTCAAAGTTACAATTGTCAGTTCAAAGTGACAATAATTGTTATTTTCAACGTGTAAATTTTCAATGGTTCGAATAAATGAAGTTGTTGGCCCTTCTGAGCCTTCGTATATTAGTCTTTAAAATTATGAAGTAAATGTTGCCGAGATCTAAGTGAATCTAAAATAGTTCAAGGCAATGAAATTAATATTGGCGTATATAGGCTTTTACCTTTGTTGAGAAATGTAAATATTTATGAAAAAGGAACAACCAAATTGGTACGCCACACTGACACGATCTTTGAACGTCCTTGATACGCCACTATAATGTCATAAATGTAAAACGTTTTCAATACTTCTTTAAATGACGTATTATCGAAGTCATGTTGATGTAATAAACAAGTTATTGGAACATCAACGTCTCCAATTGGCGTTAAGAATTTACCGGCCAAGTTTCACCAAATTGATACGTGACACCGACGTCATCCTTCCAATGCACCGATTCCCTAGCTGTCAACTCTTTTTGATTTCCTGTTAGTACCTTCGAATCCTCTTGAAATATTACCTTCAAAATATGTTGTTTTCGTGCTTCGGAAATACGAAATTTTAACCTGATAATTTTAGCTCTTCGAGAACACTGATGTAACAAGAATCCTAACAGAACCAACGCCAAACAATGAGAAAAAAGTCGTCGGAGTGGAAACCAGCAGAGGCACCATCAAGACCAACACTGTGGTTAACGCGTGCGGAGCTTGGTCACGTGATCTGACGCACACCGTCGGATTGGACATACCGTTGACGCCCATCAAGCACGCGTACGTGGTGACGGCGAGCGTGCCCGGCGTGAAAGGAATACCCTGTATAAGGGACCACGACGGGGGGCTGTATTTCAGGCCCCAAGGAGATGCGGTTGTGTTCGGGGGATACGAGCCCAATCCAGAAATTATCTCTGATGTGAGTAGATACTGAACTAGATCTTATAAATAACTATAAGAGATCTAGGATGAACAGAGTTGCCTCAATTATCAGCAGGAGCAAGACATTACTGTTTAGGCCCACCAGGCCTCATCAGCCGCTCTCGGTCTGCTGGCAACTAGGACACCTCAACGGGTATATTACCCGTTTCAAAGACGCCGGATACTGCATGATGATCTAGTCATGCAATCGCCATCTGGTGGCGTTAGTTCTGAAGTAGGGCGGTGCGGCCACATCATACACTGTAGAACGCTGTCATATCTAGTCAACACGTGCAGGCCCCTACGCCTACACGTTGAGTAGGTACTATAAAATAATAGCCTACACAGTTTGGTCCGGATTTCAATGCATAATTAATTCTAAGAGGGGACTTCCTTCAATGAATTTACGTCAGGAAATGCACTATAACTTGAATACAAGACGTTAAAGTTCGAATTACACTCGGAAACTACCGACTATACTGCTTATATCACATCCCACCAAGGGATGTGGATGTGGTTGTTCCCATCAACATTATTCATCACTGTTCAGTTGTTAGTTATATGTTCCGTACTACAATTTTGATTGATAAAATCAAATATGAATATTTGCTAGGTCAAATGATATAATATGAAATGGGAATTTTCTGAATAATCATATTTCTGAAAATGCACCATAACCAGAATATGCAAGCCCAAGTAACTAAAAGACGTCTATACGACGTCATAATTCAGAGGTGAATCACTTCATCTTGTAACGTCTCTACGACTTCGTCTCGAAGTGAATAAGTCACATGATTTCGACGTCATTCTCGTGACGTCCTCACGTCGTCAATTAATGTCTTGTCGATGATACGTCATAGTCGTCATACGTTAGTATATTATATACAGGTTTTCATTGTTGGAGAAAAAAATATTGTTGATTAAAAAACATATTTCTTATATTTTCATTAGGTAGGTTCTCATGACAATAAAACCCAATATTTTTCACACAAATATAATATATTTAGAATTTGGCCTGCCTGGTTTCACTAAAAATTGTTGCAACATGAAAAAGTTTTCAAGCGGAGGGAAAAGGTACCTACTTTTTCAAGTGTTCAAATTGAGACTTATCAATTTCAAATTGAAATTGAACACATTCAAATTGGTAAACAAATTCATAATGGGAATAAACACAATCAACTTGGGAAAAATCATTTTCAAATTCAGAATGAACAGTTTGAAATTGGGAATTAACATATTCACAAGTTCATTAACACAATCAAAATAAGAATAAACTCATTCAATTCGAGACCAAATATAACTTCAAATTGCGAAATGAATTGTCAATATTATGTTAAGATCGAAATTAATTATAAGCAGTAATCCATTGTACTAATATTTGAATTGATATTGTGATTGGAAATCGAATTTGTGCGGTGTTTAAGGAGATTGAAGGAGAGTGGCGGATACATTCGGCAATAAAAATCAACAGCCGTTCGACGATTGGAGAATCAGGAAGAAATATGGAAACAACGGGATGAAGAAAAGAAGGACCAATATAACTCAAGATCAAGAACATCAAATTATTGTACAGAATTCCATGAATATAAATAATAGCGATATTAGGATAGATATGTAGCCATAATGTTGCTTCATGCTTGATGCTTCGGAATCAATTGATATATGGATATGTGATATGTGAATATGTGAATGTATTTATACATTATAAGTATTTTTCATCACAATCGTTTGTAATGAAAGCCCTCTCAGATATGGAATATGATATATCGAATTAAAAATAAGTGTAAATACAAATTCGACAGCTGATTTGTTTTTATGGAATTACGATACGTCTTTTGTATATCTTCAACGAAATCACTACCGATTTGAACAATACCATATTGTTAGTATTTCAATTTGTTCAGTTCGAATTTGGATTTGTTGAATACGTGCCAGATCATTCTTTCCCAATTTGAATTTGGTTGTTCCCATTTTGAAAGTGATACTCAATTGGAATTTGATCATTTTCAATCTGAATGTATGTGTTCATGGTGAATCATTATGTTCCAATTTGAAGATGATTATTCCCATTTTGAAAATGATAAATCTCAATTTGAAGTTGAAAAGGTATAGTATCCGAATATCAATTTCAATATATAGCTCTAATATAGTGGTTTCTGTGAAAAAGTGCGAATGGATCCTGCTCTTATAAAACCTATTAATGGATATTTACGCTTTTCAGCTGCCGAAAGATTTCGCGTTCAGCCTTTTCGAACTAGACAAAAGCGTTTTCGATGTTCACTGGAGACATGCCTGCGAACTGTGCCCAGCTTTCGAGAAGGCTGGAATAAAATCCGATATTTATGGACCTGAATCTTTCACTCCTGACCATAAGCCTATCATGGGAGAGGATCCAAAATGCGTTGGTGAGTAGACTATTTACCACGGGGTAGGTTGCGTTTGGCCGCATTTTGCGATTCACCCAATTTTCGATTTGCCCAATTTTCGATTTATCCAATCTTCGATTCGCCTAATTTTCGATTTGCCTAATTTTCGATTCGCATAATTTCATATTAACCCAATTTTGGATTCACCCAATTTTCGATTCACCCAATTTTCGATACGCCCAAATTTCGATTGAAACAAATTTCTATCGACCCAAAATTCGACGTAATATAAGGAAGGAAAATATTTTTTTCTGCATAAGGAAGGAGACTACCTTTTCCAAACTACCTAACCTAACCTACCTAAATCTACCTAATCAAAAATTAGGTGAATCGAAAATTGGGTAAATCAAAAATTGGGCGAATCGAAAATTGGGTGAATCGAAAATTGGGTCAAACGAGACGTTCCCAATTAAATGGGTGTTGGTATTTTAGGCAACTATCATCAACTCAAACAAATGTTTTTATTTATCGTTTGAATCGTACGAAAGGAATTGCATATTACTTACGTTCATGTCACATATCACATTGAATGGATAAGGGAAGAAGGTGAGTATTGGATATTAGTGCTTCTGCATTTTTCGAGGAGATATAGCAACATTTACAAACATGCTAAGTCGGAATTTAGTTTTAATGTAATTGGAGAGGTAAATATCTGGTTGTGTTCCACGATATCTCAGTAGTTATGGTATGCCATCTTCAATGACAACCGCGTAGTTGAGTAATCATCAAAGGATGACGAAGAAAATATATCGTTAGTAAATCAAGAAATATGTTATTCTATGTTTCTGCATTGAAAATATCATCCATCATAATTCGATTATACCAGTGTGTGTATATTATGAATATATCTGTTCATTATTCACGACGGATAGCATATTTTAGACATCAAGTGGTGAACCAGACAACAGATCACTTTGAAAATTTGGTGAAGAGCATATTCGGACATTCTGTACCCAACAAAACTATTTTCTACTGTGCGATGTTGCCACTTCTGTCAAAAAGTAGTGAAAACTTCGATTTTTCAAATGGAACACCTTGTATATAATATTATTTTAAGAATCTTCAACAATTTTCCGACTAATGTTCATGCTATTTTTTAATAATAATAATAATGAACGTCTTTATCGCTTCCATATGTAAATACTAAAAAAAAATTCACATATTATGAGGTTGACATGAAAGCAAAAGGCGAAGTTCAGTTTGTAAAATGAGCTTACAAACTGTTCTTCCACTTAACCTTCAATATATCGCTAGGTGTAGGTATAGCTTAAACAGAACAAAAGAAAGAGAAAAAAAAAACATCAACAATTCATATACATTAATAATAATAATTATTATCGCGCGGATATTTTAGGGTTGCCTTGAAAACAAATGTTTCTTGTAAGCCTTCTTGAATCTTTGTATACTATAAGTTTTAAACATGGTGGGGACCTGATTATAAATTAAACATATTTGATAGGTACAACTGCGCCTCAACATTTCTAGTCTTCGTTCGTTTGCTTGGAGAACTGACTGTAAGTTGATGATTTCAAATGGAACGCCCTCTGTATATCATTGAGAATCCGGAAAGCTGCTGAAATGAGAATTTTTCCAATGTATATCATACCAATAACTAACTAGTCAAGTTTTGAACTTATGAGCATTTATTTCTGAAGCAGGTAAGCAGGTCATGATTACTATTTGACAGTAACGTTGTGGCATTCTCCTAACAATCGAAATTTTCTTGAATTCAGCTTTCCATATAAATTTAAAAAATGAATAATATATAGGGTGTTTCTTTCGAAAAAGTTGTTGTGGTCGTCATAACTCGAACGTAGATCACCCTGTATACAAATTGAAGATGAAAATGGACCTCATAAATGATTTTTTTTCTAAAAATGAATTCATTTAGTTACTTAGTTGAATGTTACGCAATAGCATCAGCTCACTCTTTTCTACGAAAACTCGAAACACGACAATAATTGTTATTTTTGTATTTAGGGCGCGAAATTCCACTTTGGTGATCGAGAGCTGATTTTTTTAACGAGGTGTAGCCGAGTTGAAATATAAGTCGAGTTGCAAACAACAATTTTTCTACGAACGTCAAAAAATATAGTTTTAAAGTGAGAATATGCTTAGCTTTATGTAAGAAATAGTGTTGAACTGACTTAAAAGGCCTCCCCCCATTCTCCCTAGGTACGCACGATGTTCCACGAACATAATAGGAATTTTCTCTCGTGCGCTCCATTAGATAAAACAATGTTATTGTTGAACATTCAGGAATAAATGATTTCGTGGATGTTTGCTCGATTGAGAACCATAAAGTTGAAATATAAATAGGTCATATATTTTACATAACAATGTACTGTAATGTACAATTTACATACTTCGCGCACTGTTTTACTTCGCGCATTGTTCTGTGCAAGGTATCATGGTAACGAAGGAAACTGAAAAAAAGTGTCACTTCGCAGTTTGTTATCAATGTGAGAACCTTGTCATTTTTTGACCTGTGTAGAAAAAAACAATCCTCTCAATATTTCAGGATTCTATCACGCAAGTGGGTTCAACTCCCTGGGCATCCAACTGAGTGGCGGTGCTGGCGAGCAGTTAGCGGAATGGATAACATCTGGTAGACCGGAACTTCCTCTGTATGCATATGACATCAGGAGGTTTACCCCGATCCAGAGACAGGACAGAGCTTGGGTGGTCGAGACGAGTCACGAGTGCTATGCCAAAACTTACAGCATCGGCTATGCCCACGATCAACCGTTGGCTGGCAGGAATCACAGGACCGATCAATTTCATGAAGTATGTTTGATAAGTTTCTAGCATGTCACATTTGGTACTAGGGCTTCGCGAGACCAAGAATCCAGTCTTGGTCTTGTCTTGGTCTTGATACAAGACCAAGACTTAATGAATCTTTCCAAGACCAAGACTTGACTTTCGAGACCAATTCCAAGACTTTTGTTAGAGAAAAGGAAAGATAAATAATTAACTTAAATCAACTCAATATTAGGACAAATCTGATGGAAAATATAGTGGCATTCAATTTTAGTTATTCATTTGTCATATGGTAGGTTTCCAATTTTTGTTCACTCAAAATCCGAAATACATTTTCCAACTTCAGTATAATAGTTTCGAAGTTTACAACGAATAGGTGTATGTTGTAAGGTCACAGAGGTCCATTCCTCCTCCTATTGAAGGTAGAAACAAATTTAATACAACAGTTATTTGGTTTCAATTTGAAATTTTCTGAAATATTTTGATATTGCGTTGTTGTCATTTTCGACCCTTTTCAACATTTTTTCTTTCTTGTCGGGCGTCGGCCTGTTTGCTATTTGGGTCTCATTAACTGTTTATTTAAGAGAAATTTATTCCCCTTACTTTATACGCACAAATTGACAATTTCGAAGACTGACAAATACGAAATACCTATAATATGCATAAAAACTATTCGATATTTGAATTGAGTAATTCAAATTTCTAGACGCATTTTGATCCAAGACCAAGACTATCAAGACCAAGACCAAGACTACATTTATTTTTCGAGGTCTCGCGAGGCCCTATTTAGTACCAAGTTTTATGTATCATGGATATCAACATTGAGGATGATTTATGATGATGATTAAAAATATTCAAATAAATAACCTAGTAGCTTTTTCAAGTGACAAAACTGAAGCTGACTATAGTTTCCAATTTCGGAAATTTTATTCACACAATAATATGCGATCGAAGATTCAATGGAGACAGTGTGTATTTATACCTATTGTCGAGAAACACCAGTTTTCTCGCTATGAAACAAATGAAATAATGGGCTTATATCACAAAAAATTTTTATTTCATAATTCGATAGAACTCACCCAAACTAGCTCACCACCGCAAACCGTTTCTTACTGTGAGCTTTCTACGTTTTATAAAAAAATATTGAAATCTCCGATTTTTCGGACCTCTGAAAACGAGGCGATGATGTGACGTCAAAACCCCAATACTGAAACAAGACTATTCCAGACAGAGATGAATGATACATGATTTCTGACAGAGTGAATTAGCGCGAGATCACAGTTGAGAGAATTAATAGATCAGTTGCCTCAGTCTCCGTCGGGATTTTGGTATTTCTTTTTAACTATGGCGAGTTGAGGTTTAAACGTCATAAGAGGGTCTGTTTTCAGAAGGTACTATTATTTATGCCCAAAAATAAAATATTCCAGTTAATTTTTCGATCGAATTATTTCGTCTATCATTATTTATGTATAAAAGGATCATTATAAACATGGTTTGAGTTGAAAGTTCTACTAAGGTGTACACGCCCATTATCAATCGACTTCTTCATGGAGCATAATGGACGGTTTTACACAATAAAGAAAACGAATTTATCCAGATTAACCGATCCATGTACAAACAACAGTACATCATCATACTCTTATAATATCTATGCTATGATAACCTCTCAATGCTATTGATCGCACATTAGCTTTTTGGTCGTGAACCATTGCAAATATGTGGTCTCTGAGGCGGTTTAATGAGTCGTTATGTTAATTATGACTTTGTGCTACTTTGATAGAGCGTGTATACCGAAGTAATTTATACATAAAACTATAGAAAGGTAACATATGTTCAACCCCTTATTCTAAACAGATTTGAAAAGAATTAACGTCACCTAAAATGTAACATTTTGTTTGTTGATATAGTTCGAACTGTTCCGAGGATAATCAACCGATCATATTTCTTCTACTTACCCTATGCCCTATATAATTTGAAATCTGATATTTTTCACATATAAAACAGAAAAAGGTCCAATTTATTATTCTAACTGTCATTTATTGGGAATTTTCTCAATGATTCTGGTTTTATGATGACTGTCTCAGGCCGTCCTACGAATCACAGACAATTCTCATATTTATTATTAGGCTCTAGTAGCAAGCGGAGCAGTCATGGAAGAAGCCTTAGGTTGGGAGCGACCAGCCTACTTTATCAAAGACCGTACAGCTCCTGTAAGAAATTACGACTGGTATGGATACTACGGTCACGTGATCAGCGAAGATAAACGTTATGAACAAGAGATTGAAGGGGACCTCACATTCGATTTTTCCAAACATCATGATCTGGTGAGAAAATATTCAAGTTAGATTAGGTTAGGTTGACCCCTGGAGAATACTCCTGATCCAATTCAATAACATCTATTCTGAAAAGTTATTTATTGAGAAGCAATACTCAGAAATATCATGGCCTTCTCCTGATTACGTATGCGAAGAGCGAATTCCATGATTGGAATAATCATCTATAATCGCAGTATGATGTTCGCAGATCGATTCATTACCTAATTAAAATTCCAATTCATTTCCGCCCTCAAATAAGTCAAAAATATTTGAAGTCAGATTGAACTATTATGTACAATTATTGATTGATATAGATGAAGAAAATAACATATTGGTATGCCATCTCAAGCAGTGGACATGGTATTATAACTTCATTTTCGAGATAACGATTATTACTTTCAATATTGTCAGCTTGCTATATGAAATCTCTAAAAGTTCTGTGAATTTGAGTGGGCATTTGTTATTTTCAATTAACATTAAGCATTTGGAGATTTGAAAGTCTGGACTAGTATGTATAGTGAGCATGTGCAGCAGTTGACATTTTCGTGAATGTGAAATATTCTACGATGTTACATGTATTCGTAGATCAAAGAAGAAGCCCTCGCTGCCAGAAATAACGTGGCCCTCTTCAACCTTACCTGCTACACGAAAATGTATTTGGCTGGTCCAGATGCACAAGAGGCAGCAGATTGGTTGTTTACTGCCAATGTAGACAAAGAACCTGGTAGTATTATTTACACTTGCTCTTTGAACTCGCGAGGCGGAGTGGAGACAGATTGCACAGTTGTACCATTGGAAGAAGGAGTTGGTACTCTAGTGGGACCTATTTTGAAGGTGAGTTTTTGTTTTGGGAGGACCTAACTGACACACTTAAGCTCTGAAAGAGCTAAAATGATATTTGACCGCTTTGAACACACACATTACTTTTTCTTAGGGTAAAGGCTACTACATTGTAGCAGGATCTAAATCAGGTTATCAGACCAAATCCCACTTCAGGAAACAACTCTACAAGAAGAATTTCAAATCACTAGTTACTGAAATGACCAACAGGATAGGAATCCTCGCAATCCAAGGACAGAAGAGGTAACTACCATTTGATATATTCCTACAAAATATACCTATACTTCTCATCTTGATTTTTTTATTATAGTGGAGAATTGCTACAATCCATAACGGAATACCCGATAACAGATGACAAAATACCTTTTGGGATGTCCAGGTTGATCAAAATAAATGGTCACACGTGCAGGGTTCTGAGGATAAGCTATATCGGTGAATTAGGATATGAGCTTCATATACCTTTATCATCTTGTATTCCAGTTTACAATACACTAATGGAAGCTGGTAGAGGATTTGATCTGAAACATGCAGGGTTTAGAGCTCTTCATTCGCTCAGTTGTGAAAAAGGTTAGTTGGCATTCTTGTTGCAATTTCAGTCTGAATTCCAATAAATGAATTCGATATGAGTCATTACAATTTTCCTATAATACGAATAGTAGATCTTCTACATTCTACATTTATGTATGAAGGTTGAAAATAATAATTGATTCATAGATATTAAACGAACAACTGCAATATTGCTGAAGCAATTAATTATATTGTGGTGGTTAATTTTGAACTATATTATCGATTTGCAGAAATGTTGCTTCACTTGTATGCTTGGAAATCTTGGTTAATGATCAGTAATTACAATGGCTCGATAGTCAGCTTTTTCATCGAAATAATCAAATTTTAGTTGAAAGGTAGTTCTCATTAGGTTCGTATCTAGTAGTTTTGAAAGATAATCGACCTCTGCCCTTGCAATTGAAAACATGAATCAACGACAATATAAAAAATTAGCATTTTTGAACAAAATAATATGATATATTGATATGATCCATGCATTTCAGGATATCACACGATGAATCATGATTTGAGAATTGATGACAACCCAGTTGAGGCAGGACTCGTGAAGTTTTGCAGGAAAGATGGCCAGTACTTAGGGAAACAAGCAGTTGAAAATGTCAAACAGAGGGGTGTTCAGAAGAAGAGAGTATTCTTCACCATGCAAGATAATGTGCCATTGTATGGATATGAGACAATTTGGAGAGATGACTCTATTGTTGGGTTCCTCAGGAGAGGAGAATATGGATTTAGCTTAGACTGTAGTATAGGAATAGGGTGAGTAGTATGAATATATCAGTTGAAATACTTAATGCAGTGAGAAGTATCATAGAATTTATAGACTAGTTGTGATTTTCGTGAATCTATTTCAACTGATGTAAGACAACGTATACAAGGCCGCTCATGGCAAAAATATTATATTTCAATTTACATCGACTGATCTCGTAGTTCGTGATCCTTGCCTTACAAGATGCTGGATTCATCTGGCAATACATTTCTTTGGCTGCATTTTCATTGATATTTTCTGGTGAATTTGTATTTATTTCCATTACTTCAATGAGACGTATATAACACGAAGCAGCAACGATGAAATATTCACTTTTGAAGAAACACTGACAGTAATTTTGAACAAACCTCAAATTATCAACGAATGTCATGTCTACTTTACTATAAGAGGAGTAGTAGGAAGAAAATGCTGGTATCAATTAATCGAATTAAAAATCGATTTTTCATGTGATGAAATGAATCTTTCCGTCGACTTCGTATCAACAAGTTAATGTACACGAAATTCATCGTTAATTACCCGCCTATAACTACATTGACGATTAGTTTGTCTATTAACGAACGATTGTGGCATAGACAACCAACCCAGATAACACACATACATCCATTGGATGTCCATTTTGAATCCATTAGGTAGCCGGATGTCCATGGATGTCCAATGGACATCCATTGTGTATATGTACAATGGACATAGAGATTTGTACATACAATGGACATCCATTTTGTAGTTTCGCAAAGTATATATGTGTCATTTATGACTCTTCTATTTCAATTGAAATATTTTTACCAATAATATATAATATATATATGAACATTAATCACGGACAACTTCGCACTCGGTACTATTTTTCAAGATTTTATACGTCTCATAATTTTTGTAGGTTACGTACCTATATAGAGGTAGGTACTTATTTTAAAGTTGATTTTCATCCAATTTCAATTTTAAACCATTTAGGCCGTGCAAATAAGATCGATATGGGCAAATATTATACGGCGGGTTTCTTTCGAAAAAGATGAATCACCCTGTAACACTTTTTATAAGGGCCGTGTAAAAGCTTTATTGCGGCACTAAACTTCAGCAAATTGCATTTTCTCTCGATGTGAAATACCGTGAATACGAAATACTTGCTATAATATTTATAACAGCTCAGTGGTCCAGAGGTTAGCGTTGTGATCCACGAGAGCGGGGTCGGGAGTTCAATCCCCTCAAAGGACAACTTTTTTTTAATTTCCACGTTCTGGCTGGACAAAATTTGGATATCCAATGGAAATCCAATGTATTCCTGATGAGTATCCAATAGACTCATCATTGGAATGGACATAAGTTGGATTTTTGGTAGACATCCATTAGAGTTCTGATGTGTATACAATGGTATTTCAAATGTAATGGACATATAATGGATCTTCATTGGGAGTCCATCGGATGTCTGATGAGTATCCAATAGACTTCCAATGGAAAGGACAAATATTGGATGTCCAATGGAAATCCATCAGATGTCTAATGGAAAGCCAATGGACTTCCAATGTATGTCCAAACTGTTGGACATGTATTATCCAATGGATGTCCATTGGATAAATACTGGACAATGCCGTCCATCCAATGGATGTCCAGGGTATCCATAGCTGGACATCCATTGGTTGTCCAATGGATTCACTTGTGTTGTCTGGGAAACATATACCGCGTCGTTTGACTGTTGAGATTATAACTCACGGAATCTGCATTTCAATACAGAATTTGTAGTTCATCGAAGATGTTACGTCAACGGGTTAGCTTTTTAACTTTTCTTAACCGATTTTGATTCCAGTTTTCTGACACAAAAGGCATTTATTTTCCATGTTGATAATTTCGACAAGAGTCAAATGTCACTTCAATGTCAGTGACAAGTTGACTCTGTCATGGCTATTGGGTAAAACTTAGTAGTTTCCTGATAAGTATAATGAATTCACGAACCAAATATTCCTCATTTCAGGAGAAATGTAGAGAAATGTAGTCAACGGAAAGATATTGTAACCAACTCGTATATCAATAAGGCTATTGATGATTTCGCGCTCGCTTTGCTTGCACGGTAAAATATTTTGATCACAAGTTGTGCACCACGAGTTTTACTTGATCCTAACCCTTGATCCTTACCCTTCATCTTTCTAAAACACACTTCGTACATAAATATTCATTATGAAATATGATCGGCCGATAGCTGTCGACAACAGCACAATTATATTGTATCAGGATCATTGAATTCATTGAATTAACCTCCAAAGTATTCCATCTGTTTCTGATTTGTGATCTTTGAAGTACCTAATTGGCGGTGATAGGTCAATTATAATTCTTATTTATATTTTTGGCCCCTTTTGAATCAGTTCGCGTGTTTATTCATTCAACTCTTGGAGTCCACGAAAGGAAAGTCCTTCAATGTTCGAAGAAAAAGAAGAAGTTTCGCCGTTCTATAGACGTGCTAATATTTATTTGAGAGTTTCAAATATTGAAAATTTTTCGATATCTCCGATTCTATGTCTCATAATCTCGAAACTATGGAAACTATATGTGGGTATGCATATCACATCTCGATTTCATTCATTTGTTTATGAAAATTCGGTGTGTGAAATTGTGATGTAGATATACATATTATACTTATTTGACTTTGCGAAATAAACCACGTCACTCTCAAATGATTCAACCCTATATATGTAGTCATATATAACCAATATGAATCATTATGAGAAATCATCTTATTTTTCCAGCTATGTCCAGCATCCTGAAGGAAAAATGGTAGACAGCGAATTCCTGAAGAGTGGTTCATATCAGATCGAAGTAAGGAATAAAAAATATCCCGCCACTCTGTTCCTGAATAGTCCATTCGACCCTAAAAATCAGAGATTGAGAGGGCATTACGAGCATTCATTTGAGGAGCAGACACATTTCGAAGACTGAGTTACCATCGATTATAGCTCTTAAATTGATAATCTTTTAGATAATTGTTATGATTTTTGTGATTTTTATATTTTAAGTAGGTAATAAATGATTTTATTCGGATGGAATTATTATATTGATCCTCACATTTCCTTGAGATTCCATTGGCCAGAAGAGATATTCTCTTCATCACACATAACAATCAATCCTATAGTGAGTATATACAGAGTGGGCCTTTGAAAACGAAACAGATACAGGGTGATCAGAATTCTGAATCTTGAACCACCCTGTATTTGTTTCGAATAAATGTCAGTAGATAGTAAATCACAAGTTGAGATCGGGACATGGGAGCCATTTTGACCAATAATGAATAGTTTCGACACAAAAAAATGTTAAAGTTGAAAAATCTCGATTTTGAACACTTTATATCCCTGAAACCATTACAGCTAGACCCTAAGTGTGATGCATTGATGAAATCAGCTCTTCGGGGAGAATATAAAGATGCAATAAAATTCAATAAGGTATTCCATTTGGAATAACAAAGTTGTTGCTTCTTTTCTTTAGAAGCGGCAACGCCGCAGGGCTGAAAATATTTTAGAAATATCTGGTTTTGGCGACCCACAGAGCCTCTGTTTCGTTTTCAAAGGCCCACTCTGTATATAATATATTCACAGTTACGTCATTTTTTAATAATAAAATGATGTAGTGGGCGCCCTCAAATGACGTCAGAACGTCACAGAATGACTTATAAAGTACTTAATGAGAAAAACAAAGGTATACACCTATAGGCGTAGAAACATACAGTGCGTTTCATAAGGTTATACCCCCCCCCTATCTAACTCGTTACGGGACCCTTGTTAGTGAAATCGTCGAGACCCGTCGATTTTTGATTTCCACAGTGTACATTTTCGTAGGAATAGTTCCTTCCTAATTTCACCCCTCACTGGAGGGGAGCAACCCTGTCAAAAAACTTAAATAGCATGGGGTGGTGAGTGATAGCTCATTTGAAATTGCAATTTCTTTGCACAGTTATGTTTGGTCTAACTCAGTTTCAAAACTGTAGCACAGTTTAAACTCAACCGTACAAGGTTCTACTGGTTTTACCCCGTTTTATATATTGATAGGCCTGGATAGCGAGACATACGAGTTCTAACAGAACATTTCGCGAATATTACTGGTAATAGTTCCGTATTGGAGAGCGATAAAAAACTAGCATACGAACGTATAAAACGAGAAGCAGAATACTCCAAAAATTTATTTGACAAATCACGAAAACCGCCAAAGGAGTTCAAAGTTGGCGACTTTGTCTATCACCAATCTGGATCTGGAAACTCGCACGTCGCAAAGCTGGAACGGAACCGAAGTACGAGAGCCCATATGTGAAATTGTAGAAATCTTTCCAAATGATCAGACCGAACTCAAGAGTTTGGCAACAAAAAATAGGACTGTGGCTAAAGATATGGTTGGCATCTGGCCTGGGGAATTTTCTGAATGTTATGTTCAAACGGTGAGTCAGAATGAACTGTGTGGGCATTTTTCAATGATGGTAATGTTATTTTGTTCCGCTATGTGAGCACTACTTTTGTTTTGTTTTACTGAATATGCTATTATGATATTATGTATTTCTCCAAAAGAAAAATTGGTAATGGTCAAATTTTTTCGGTTTATTTGAATATTAAATGTTGAAAGCTGGTTCGCTTTGAACATGATGACGGGTTCAAAAGCTATATTACGCCTCACACGCAGTACAATGTTGAAGACTTTCCATGTGATATGGTGTTGAAAACTATCACGCTTTGGACGGAATATGCGAATATGTTGTTTATTTAGTTGAAAGTTATAACGTTTTGCACGGACCATTATTGTGTTGGAAGCTATTATGCTTTGCACGTTTACCATCGCGTTGGAAGCTTTTACGCTCGCACAATGCTGGAGGTCTAGTTGGTTATTCTGGAGAACTCATAACATGCCATCAATGTATTAAAACTCAAATATTCACATTAGTGAAAGCATGCGGGATGATAAAAAGTAAACAATTTGATGTAGTTATTCAAATATGTAACGGATTTTGGAAATTCGAAAATACTCAATGTTCTTTTTGGGGCTCAGAATATGATTTTCGTTTATCCGGATCTGAATTTTCATCGTGACTGATAAGTGAGTCGCTTGGGTAGAAGAAGAATGAATTTTCTACCAAATTCCAAAAGAATATACTGGGTGATTCGTAAGAAGGGAAACTCGTGTACCAAATTTCAAAATAAAATACTGGATGATTTGTGATAATTCTTGGTATTTGATTGGGAAAACTCGAAACATTACATTTCTACCTATCCAAATGCATAAAACCTCAAATTCAGAAGCAGACATTCTTTAGTGAAATACAAGGTGTTCTTCTTGTGGTCCAGATATATTTGACCAGTTTTCGTTATTACGGACCAGGATTTTTCTCGTGACTGATAGGTGAGTCGCTTGGGTAGAAGAAGAATGAATTGTATCGTCACAAAGAATTGAGCAAAATTGATAAAACACCCTATATCTTGGTTATAAATCCCTACAAATGGTCGCTGGAAATATGATCGAAATCATTGGATCGAACTTCATTTGATCAAACATCATTTGATCGAACATCATTTGATCAAAAATCAACTGATCGAAATAGCAATTGATCGAACTACATTTTGATCGAATATAATCATTTGTTGAAAAGGAATATTCTCAGATAAATTATGGACATACAAAAATGGATATATATTTATATGAAGCAATACATTGACAATTTCGCATTCTCTATGTGATGAGAATATCTACTCTTTTTCTGTTAATTCAATAGAGAACAACTATACTTTCCTGATGGCTATATGCCACGACGAACATTGAATTATATCTATTTAACACACACGATAAGAGTTTGAAAATAAAATATAAAAACTTCTGGAATTGAGAATTCGCATTCTCCTTCAGACAAAAATATGTATATGTAAACATCATTCTGAATATTCAACAGAAAACAACTACTTTCCTGGCTATTTGCCACGTCGAACATTGAATTATATCTGATGTTGTTTTCTATTGAATAAACAGAAAAAGAGTAGATACTTATTCTCATCACATAGAGAATGCGAATGTCCATAATTTATCTGAGAATATTCCTTTTCAACACTTTCATACCCAATCAGGGGGTTCAAACTTGAACGATGGAAACTTGTGATTTTTATAGACCTCTAATCGCAGATTCGTGATAGAGTCTCAATTCAGAATGTCTTTGTATGATGAATGTCAATTTATCGTACACCCAAAAGCAAATAAATAATCATTTGCTTATAATATTCAACTATACTTACCAATTCGTCTCAAACACTTTGTATAGATTCCAGGAATTCATTGATATGAAGGATTTCATTGTGAGAAGTATCAAGTATTAGTATAACTATAGTGATCAACATTATATGTCAGAATTTAAGTCACATTCGCTCCCCCTTGCCCCCTCATGTGGACGCCCCTGTTTGGTACATCGCTTGCCTTAAAGTTCAGGTATTCCCAGTAATTACGGAAGGAAGTTTCCTTAAGGCCGAGTCCGGTTAGGTTATTTAGATACAAGTCTCCTTTGTTCTCGAGTAATTTTCCGAAAAATATACTATCTAGTAAGAAGGTTCATTTAGGCCAAGTCAGGTTAGATTGTTTAAGAAAAGTGGTCTCCTTTTTAATGCTTATGCAGAAAAGATATTTTCCTTTTCCTTCCTCAACCTTCACGCAAACAGTGTAACGGGTGAAAACGAAATTTACGCTGTTTGTCTGCAATACGTATATCATTTCAGGGAATAACGGATTCCATCAAATATGTTCATTTCATGTCAAGTTCGATCGAAATATAATCCTACCAATTGATATTTCGATCCAATGATATTTCGATCAATTGATTTTCGATCAAATGATGTTCGATCAAGTGATTTCGATCGAAAAGTTTTCGATCATATTTCCGGAAACCCATACAAATATGGTATATTCAGAGCTCACCTTGTTTTTTCCGCTATCCAATGGGACACCCTGTATATAAAGAAAGATTTCTTAGATGGATAATCTGGTAGAATTTCTCATTATTACTCAGTCTGTATAGATCATAACATTTCTAAATTTATTGTGAAGATGATTGTGATCATGAATATTCCATTTCGTATCTTTTTCGAATCAACATCAACAATAATCAACTGGAACTGAGCAATGACGGTTGGAGACGTTCATGTTGAAATCTTAATGAAATCCGCCATTATTTCTGAATGATAATTCACGAAGATATTATTCGCACGTATTGACATTTTTGTCAAATCCATCCTTTGACCAAAGATTCATCATTTGGCATCAAATTTTCGTTCACTATCAATTGAATCTTTGAAGTGAAACCTCTGAGCCCCCATGGACGAAAATAACTGGAATTCATCAAGATGTTCAGGAAACGTGAGATAAAGTTTGGAAATAGAAGACCCAAGATGATATACTCATTTTGAGATTTTCAGAGGCCCAAGAGAGGTGATTACTGCAGATCTGGAGGTTCACCAAGAAATAGACACTCTAGAGTAAACCCTCCAAATATCAGCAGTAGTCCAACCTACATTGACGATGTAACATTGAATGCCATGATAGCCAGCGGAATGATGGAATCTTTAGGACCCATCAATTTTGCACAGGTATTTATATAATGGAATATCGTATTCTAGTTTTCTGTTAACTATCTGATCAGTTCAGGGTACCATCTATGAGACCCCATATGAACAATGATGCTCCCAGTCCACCAATCGACTATAATCTTGGCTGGATTTCTAAGAATATAAATCTTTCGGGCCTAACGAATCAAAACCAGGTGAAAACATTATCAAACTTCTATTAATATATGATTTCAGATTGACAGGTCTTGAACCAGTTGTCAATCTATCGTCAAATCTCAAATTCAAGTGAAATTTGTTCTCTACTTTGATGAAGTTCTAGTTGAAAGAAGGTTCGAATAGTAAGCCCAAACCAAATTCCGA